TTCTGACAGCCATGGGTGCTGGCTGTCAGAATAAAATAGAAAGCAGGGGAGATTCCTCCATCCATGCAGTTTTGAATGGATGGTGGAATGAAAGACCAGCCTTTTTAAATTCAGAGGAACCCTTGAAGTAACTTTCAGGTCTTAGGGAACCCCTGCTAATAATTACTATATTTACAACCGCACACGAGTGTTAAGAGCAAGCTGAGAAATAAGGATAAATAAAATAACAAAGAATGTGTAATCTATATACAGTATAGATATATTTATTGAGAAGCAGCACACCTATGTGCACATGTGGACTCCCCTACAACGATGATACTTGCAATCTCCCCTTTGGTATGATAACAAAGGGATCAAATTTTGATATACGTCCAAGGTAGCAGTAAGTAAAAAAAAAAAAAAAGACTTGCCTAATACAAGTCGCAATGAGGTTCCCTACGGCTGAGAGGTCTCCCAGAATCTATTGTGGACCTCAAGTCTACGGCCACTGCCTTATTTCAAGAACTGTTTCTGGCCATCCCTGTTGAATGTCTAGGGTTCAATCTCATACACCTGGCCCTGGGTCTAATTAAGGCAGAGGGTCTCCCACAAGACATTATAGACAAGTTCACTTACACACAAAAGCCTCCTTCAAGCCGCAAAGGAGAAGCAAGACAAAATGAAACAAAAAATGAGATCCTACACTTCTGCTCTCATCACTCATGGTTTTAAATATAAAGGGGCATACAAGTTTAAATTGATCTTTATGCACCATGGACAGACTCAACTGTCTCGATTCTGGTCAAAGCCAAATCCAAACTGGAATCCTTTGATCCGATGGCAGCCCTGCAAATCACCCACTCCTCACTCCCTGATGGCCCGGCTCCAACCCCGATGAGAAAAAGCTTCCAACCACAAGCATACCCTCCTACGTATGTCTTGACTTTGTGGACCCACCCCACTCGGACCCAGGCTGAAACAACTGATGGGCAAGACCTTTATGGTCTTGATCCGTCAGACCCTAAGCTAGGAATTTGTTCTTTGTTGACCACTTCCACCTGCCTTACCGATTGTTTTGAATTGAGCCCAAGACTGCTGCATTCTCCGAAACTACCTCTATGACTGTGCTACTAAGTTTACAGCCCGGATCACTGGGTGTCTGCCTTATGGGCTCAGTACCCTAATAGCTCTGTATCCACAATACTGCAAAATCTAATTTATCTTTTTGAGCTATGAATTGCTATATTTTATTATAGCTTGATATTATTGACCTTCCTGATCTTTTATCAACTTTTGTAAAAAAGATATATTGCTTTTATATTGTTGTTTCTGCCATAAAAATCCCAGGGGGATACAAGTATTTTTTCTGACTCATTCATTTCTAATAGCTCCTGACATTCGCTTTATACACATAGTGTATTTTTAATGCTCATTCTCTGTGCACCAATCTATTTGCAGTTTTGAAGTTCTCTTACTTAGTTTATGAAACTACCGCTCATCATGGAAATATTTTCCTGGGACACTGTTCCTGCTGTATATGAGCTCTCTTAATAGCTGCCTCCTCGTAATCTAACTGTTCACTACTGATTTAACCATTTTAATCTGAGTGTACAGGGTAAAGCTGTTCACCCAAAAGATCACTCAGGGTTCCCATAAGACGAGGAGGCATAGTGAGGTGGGAAATTTCTTATTGCCTCAGATGCCCTTCACACAAATCGCATGGATACATGAATGTATATATATCCTATGGTGATTTATCTAGTTTATTGCCAAACCACTTGCAAGCAACATCCCATGACCTTTTATGCCCGAGACTGATAGAGGGCCCCCCAATCTTGCCTCTTTCTGGCTTGACTGAAGGATACTTGTCTCCCACCTCTGAGTGATCCTTGTTTATCACTTTTACTTGTTACCTGTTAGACTACAGTTCTATTCATATCATGGTTACTTGTGCATTTTTTTGGATCCTTCTCACATGCTATTTGTTGAGTCTTTGTCGCTGCTTTCATCTTCATTTGGCCAGTTGGAGCCTTCCCAGGTATCATTCCCCTGCCCTTGAGGTTACAGTTTTAGTCTTTTGAGCCCACTACTATTTTGACCCTTTTTCTGTGACTAGCAACTGGCTCTGTTGAGTTTAACGTCTCCTTTTCATTCAGTTCTGAGAAATTATGTGCACAGAGCTGTGCAGGATAAACTTTCTTGACTTGGTACAACCCCCTCTTAGTCAGAACAGAGCAGCTCACCCTTCACACCGAGTTTGCTATTTTCCCCACCAAATATTTTAGTCTGATTTAAAGTGATTCTAAAAGGTTTTTTTTTTTTTTAAGGAAAAAGAACAAACATACTATACTTACCTGCTTTGTGCAGTGGTTTTACACAGAGCAGCCTGGATCCTCCTCTCCTCGGGTCCCCCGCAGGCTCTCCTGGCCCCTCCTTCCTGTCAGGTGCCCCCACAGCAAGCAACTTGCTATGGGGGCACCCGCTAATCCGTGTGACCATTCACAGAATGCATGAAGGTAAAGAACCTTGAGCCTTTGCAGCTACTTTAATTTTATTTGATTACACTTGGTTCCCCCAGCAGACTACTCACTTGCTTGACAGGAAAGCCAGAGGCCTCAATCTTGCATGTCCCTAATCTTCCCAGATTTCATGGTTTTGGTACAAATATATATCTCTATTGTGACATCTATCTACCTTTTCTGTTCATTTTGAAGGTGCTTGACCGCTTACATACATTGCTTATGCGTGCTTCTCTTTCCCTGTTTTAGACAAAAGGTTCGACATGCCAGTCTTGTTTTTGAACTAGATGTCACAGTCCTTTCCTTGTCATGTCCAGAAGCTGATCTTCTGCTATTTGCTACCACCTCCTCCCCCTGACACCGTTCATTCTGTTCATTTTCCTTTGGGCCTTGAAGTCTTACATTACCCTACCCATCCTCAATACCCCTTTAAACACTTGTACGCCTTCCTTCCCCCTTATTCCATTTCCCCTCCCCTTATCTGTTCCTCATTCACCTTCCACCCAATTTCCCTTTCCACGCCCTTTTTTCTATTCTATTCTCCTTAACCTACTGTTTCTGCCCTTGGGTAATCCCTACTAAGACGATGGCCCTAAATCTTGCTCCTCTGGAGACAGTCACACAAATCCAATCCACTTTTCCTTACCACTGGGCTTCAAAGTCATAGAATTTGGTTGTCAATTTCACCCTAATCCAATGAAGTTGAAGCTCAGTGGTAAGGAAAATTGGATTGGATTTGTGACTAATTACTCACTTCCCCACTCACTTCAAGACTGGAACTCCTGGATAGGCCAAATCAGCGTAATAAAAGTGACCTTTCTCCCCAGGTTCCTTTCACTATTTCCAAACCTTTCTGATCCACATTCCAGCCTTTTATGTACACCTACTGCAGAATCAAATCTTATCCATTATTTGGGCTCCTAAGAGTCCCTCACTGCACTTTTTTATACCTACAGACTGCAAGCAGGTCTAGGCATCGCTAACGTCGAACAATATTCCTATTAGGCTGAACAAATTTCTCAGTTATTACTACATTGTATGTCCCCTTGTCTGTATTCCTTGAACTACCAAACTGTGACCAGATCCCAATTACCTTACTGTGGTTTCTGCCCAAAACTCGTCCATCCCAGCGGAGTCCCTTTAACGAAACATAGTCTGAAGGTCTGGGACTAAATTCGATACTTGAGCAATATAATGTCCTCTTTTCTGCCCATCACTAACCACGCACATTATTCCCGAGCCTAAAACAACACAAACCTTTTGCCTGGTAAACCACCCAAGGATTTGCACATGTTTGACACTTCTTGACCTTGCGTGCTTTTCCCATTTGGGCTATTTCAAGAAAAAGCACAGTGCACCTAATTCAAACAATTCATCCTTCAGGGACTGGACAATTTTCCATACACTAAAACATAATTTTAACATATCTGCCTACACTCCCTGGGTTTACAATATTTCTATATTCCATCTTTAATACTAGGGGGCCCCACTTCCTCACTCTTTTCCATGAGGAGTTGGGAACAAGATCTCACAGCCCCATGGAGCTTGAAGATGGGAGCAAATCATGGCTGAGCATTACCAAAATATTAAATACTTCCATCTTGTAAACTGCTATTAAGTCCTCTTTTGGTGGTACCAAGTCTCCTCTCAGATCCATCTCACTCACCAGAAATGGTTCGGGGGTACAGCCTACACGAGGACACAATCAATAGTTCCTAACTCTGATCCCCCCCACCCACTCCTTGCGCTTCCTTCTCTTCATCCTTGACTGATTTCCCCTCACCTTTTGGCATTGCTGAATCTCTGTTTTTAGCCATTCACGGTTACAGCTCTTTGTATTGTGAAATGCTTGTAAGAGTTGGCGTTTTTGAACAATTTTATAGGATGCTGTATTTTGGCCTCAGTTTATGTTCTTGCACCTGTTCTAAAAGGGCAAGTTCCTCCCTCTCCACCACAACCAGTTAGGACACAAAACAGGTCCCAGAAGGTTGCAGGTCCATTCACAAAGCACAGCGGGAAGTGGGCTGTGCAGCTACAGGAAGTTATATCCGGTTTCCCCACACTCAAAATGGCAGCACTGGGGACCAAAATACTGGCAAAGAACCAGCCCAGATGAAGACATCACTGGATCCTTGGACTGGTGTATGCTTAATAAAAGTCTTAGCAGCTTTCGGGTCATAGTGCTCAATGAACTACCATGGCGTTGTGCAGCACCATGGTAGATCGTTCATTCTTCCTGCCACTATATGCTGCTTGCCCATAGAAAAGCAGATATACTGACAGGTCTGTGAGAGACCTGCATGGCACCAGCGATCTGCTGATTGCTATATCAATGCTTTAAAGGCCCCTGCAAAAAAAATTTAAAATAAATAATAAATGCACATTTTTTTTTTACCTGCAAAAAAATGTGCATTTATTATTTTTTGTCAAAAGGTGAACTTATCCTTTAAAATCAAAAAAAAAAAGTTTGAACACAATAACATTTTTAAAATGTTACTAAACCCAGGATCCTGCATTTACTATATCTGGTCTCCCACAGTACACAGAACATGGAAATGCAATTATTTTAGTAAATATAAACTGCTAAATACCTTTTCTCATCAGCAGTTAGAGCAGTCTTGTGACTTCTATCAATGTTCAGCAGAGCGCAATGTAAAGCTTGTAGGAGGAGTTTTCTTTCTGCTCTAGGAGGATGCAGAACCCCGAACCTCTGTCTGGACAGTGCCGATTGGCCTTATGCTGAACACGTGCACTCTCCCAATTAAAAAAAATAAAATAAAAAAAAAACACCTCTCTAGCAATGCACACTAAGCTGAGCATTCGCAGAGTGACTCCACACTATACATCTAAATCAGGAGATAAAATGGGGCACTGGAAGAAAGGGAGGAAGTCAGAGTCAAACTGCCTTTTTACACAATGCAGAGGATTAACCCCTTAGGTTCCACAGTGAATATAACAAGCATGCTTTACTGCATATACAGACTGAATTTACTGTTGTGGGATTAGTTGCACTTTAATTCAACTTTAATTTTCTCCTGGAGTTCGTGAACGTGAAGTTAGGCCTCTCTACATTCAGGAAAGCTACTGAGGGCTGACAGATTGTCACATTTTCCCCACACAGCACACAAGGTGCAGGATCACTGTGCTGTACACCCATGTCAACAGCTTCCTTACATGGATGCACAGCAGGTGCCAACAGAACCATGGCAGTCCATTTATCAATTCCCAGGCTGTAAACTGCTAGACACACTGGGCAACTCAGGTGGCACACTACTGGAAGGAGCTGTGGTCTCAGGCCAGTGTGAAAGCAGCCAAGGTGGTTAGTTCTCTTCTCTATTGAAAATAGCACAATTGGCTACTGGTTTTCAAACATCCTGCAAAAATATTTGACCTTACTTCCAATCTTTGCAATAGAACATCATCGCACTATGATTTTTACAAACAGCCGCTTTCTTTAATTAGGTTACGCATGACTGGTAACTGGTAAAGTCATAACTAATGTGATACTAGTTACACATTTATCAATGCAGAAAATATCTTAATAATCTGAAGAGACTAAATTGCCTGAAATTCTCTGAGGATTGTTGTTTATTTCTACAAAAATTACAGCCTAATCACTTAGGGGGCAATTAAAGTCTTCACCATTGCAGGTAAACTCACCTTGTGGAAATCAGTCTCCCTTGTCTTGTGATCTAACCGCAGAGAAATTGTGATCCCATCTGCACAAAGCAACAAAAATAAACCCGATCCCCAAGAAGCAAGAAAATCACTAGGCTTGTTTAACTGTTCATAGCAGTTACCTGCTTAAAAGAAGCATGGCCAAAGCTATTTAGGCCCTACTTCTCTTGGAGTGTTCTTAGTTATGCACTCTTGTAACACATTTTCAGCTGACAATGGGCTAAAGTCCGGCTGTCAGCTGATGTCACAGAACCATAGGATCAGAAACCTGACAGGCATCTGGCTCAGCCTCTCAGCACGCTTCTGAGAGCCTGAGCCAGCCATTCCCACCCTCTTCACAATCCGGCACTCCAGTGATTGCTGGAGGGACAGAGCAGAGACCTGGGGACTGTTACGACTCTCTGCTCAGAGCAGAGGAGAGAACTGAGCGATTAGCGGTCTTTCATCACTCAGTTCTTAGCGCAGAGCTAACAGGGAACATATGTAGCATTGGATTGATATTGCATCCACCTAGGTGAGTAATTTTATTTCCCCATACCCCATTCTTCCATTTTAAATCACCCTCTTTATTACTTATTATTAATATTATATTAATATTATTACTTATTATTTATTACCATCTAGGGTGGGCAGCACAGTGGCTGAATGGTTAGCACTTCCGCCTGGCAGTACTAGGGTTGTTGGTTCGAATCCCAGCCACGGCACCACCTGCATGGAGTTTGCATTTTCTCCCTGTGCCTGCGTGGGTTTCCTTCCACGCTCCTAAGACATGCTGGTAGGTTAATTGGACCCTGTCTAAATTGTCCCTAGTATGTGTATGTATGAATGTAAGTTAGGGACTTTAGATTGTACACCCCTTGAGGGTTAGGGACTGATGTGAATGCACAATATACATGTAAAGCGCTGCGTAAATTGACGGCGCTATATAAGTACCTATAATAAATAAACGTATTTATTTCCCCATACCTCCATTTTAAATCACCCTCTTCAACCGCCTTCCGCCTAACTTAGAAGGAAATGACAGGCGCAAGGCGGTTCTCTCGTTCTCTAGCCGTGCATGCACGCCTCCGGGGCTGCGCAGCGCAGCGATTGGTGGTGCGCTGTGTCCCTGGGACAGAACGGATCACCGATCAATGGAAAGAGCCGATGACGTGGGCTCGGTCATGTGATCAGATGTCAAATTACAGCCGATTGCATGTAAATAAGGAAATGTCGGTTATCAGCATTACTCAGAGGGGACATATACTCAGAGGGGACCTGATGATCAGTGTGCCCTGATGATCAGTGTAGACCCATCAGTGCCACCTGATGGGGTCCATCACTGATTGCCACATCAATGCCACCTGCCAGTGCCCATCAATGCCACATATCAGTGCCTACCAGTGCCAAATAGTGCACATCTGAGCTGCCAGTCAGTGCTGCCTAACAGTGCCGCCTAACAGTACCAGTACCAGTGTCATATCAAAGCACTGCCTTTCAGTGCCCATCAGTGATGTCTGTCAATGCCCATCAGTGCCCACCAGCAGTGCAGCCTATCAGTGCCCATCAGTGAAGGAGAAAATCCCTTATTTACAAAATTTTATAACAGAAACAAAATTTTCAGTTGTTTTTGGTTTTATTGGTTTATTTAGCAAAAAATAAAAAAAACAGGATGTGATTAAATACCACCAAAAGAAAGCTCTGTCTCAAAAAAATGCTACAAATTTCATATGAGTACAATGTTGCATGACTGCGCAATTGTCAAAGTGTGACAGCACTGAAAGCTGAAAATTGGTCTGGGCAGGAAGGGGGTATAAGTGCCCTGTAGGCGAGGGGTTAATCTAGCTACAGAATCTCACTATCCAGGACCTGTTTTCTGTAAGGCCTCTTATGTGGCCACTTATCTTGCCAGTGGAATGACTGGATCATGCGAATAGCAGCAGTCAGTCAGCCTATGTAAACAAATGGCAGGCTATGCATACTAGCCAACTCAATGGAAAAAAAAGTCACACATGCAAGCAAAGTCTTAATTGGTAAACAACCGTGTGAGATCCTTACTGCTGTCCATGTCCCACTAGTGATAATCCACCCACTTCCCATATAAAAAGCCATGACTAGTGATAATCCACCCACTTCCCATATAAAGAGCCATGACTAGTGATAATCCACCTACTTCCCGTATAAAGAGCCATGACTGTGCAGTCACTAGCCACTCCTTAAAAGGAGAAATACCTTTAAAAAAAAGTCACCAGAACAGTTTCCATTAAAAAAATGTTCCTCCCGCTATCTCTTCCATTATAGACTGCCCATCATGAGTTAGAAGACTGTCTGGTGATAAACTGTCAAAAGCGACTCATGCAGATAGGAGCAGACAAAATGCTTGAAATCACACTGGAAGCTTTGGACTGAGGCAAGTACATCTATAGAACATGCTTTATTCATTTTAGCGGTTTATAAACACTTTAAGCAACAGAACGAGAGCAAACAATCAAGTTTAATTGCTTCCTGGATTTCAGGTTGAGATACAGTCTAGTTTACGTTTCACAACGCACTACTGGAAGAATGTGTAGTATATTTCTTGGAGGACTTGCACCCATGTTGTGCCAGGCTGCATTGTCAACCCCTTAGGCCACCCAGCTGTTATAGCAATGCAACAAGTATTGGATCTGAACATATTAATATTTTACAAGCACAGAGACATCAAGCCACCCCCATATTTCTCACTAAAAGATCTGCAATGTCGCCTGCATGCTCTAGTTATCACCCAATTTTCACAGTACCTGAGTTTTTGATTCAGTAAAACTCTCTGGAGTCTGCTACAAAAACAAAAAACACAAGCACAAAACACACACACAAATGAGCGTACCCCTTACCTGTAATTTATCTGGCCATAGACAGATCACAATTTGGCCGGTACAACAGAAACCAGTCAAATTTCAATTCATCTATGGGTAGGCTGGTTGTACTGAAGTCAATCAATTGACCAGTATAATCATCCTCTCCTCCTGCCCCAACCCCCATACAATTACTGCCGCCAGCTATAGCCAGCAGTAGTCATAATTGTATTATGATGGCAGGGAGACCTCCCGCTGTCAGAATGCAATTGTGCAGCTGGAGGGACTCCCACATCAAAACCCGTGGTTGAAGGAAAGAAAGTTTCTTATTGTATGGACTGCCTTAAAGTGGAAGGCAAGTCAAAAACCTAACTAGGCCTTAAACCACTCCCACCCCCATTCTAAGCCTAATCTATCTACACCTCTTCCAATGCCACTGTCAGCAATCTCAGAATACACAACTACAGACATCTTTCTTTTACAGGGAAAATAGAATAGGCTTAGAAAGGTTCAAGATCATGTCCCAGCATTATTTTTATTTACCTTGATCCTGTAGTAAGAAACATCTTTTATTGCTTCCTTTGAAATTATTATTATTATACAGGATTTATATAGCGCCAACAGTTTGCGCAGCACTTTACAATACAAGAGAGACAGTACAATTACAATACATTTCAGTACAGAAGGAATAGGAGGGCACTGCTCGTGGAACTTACAATCTAAATTATCATAAGGCTTAATATCTTGCAGAAGCAGCTGCTGAGAGGTCAGCGTAGGCACTCCCCCAGAGCTACATCTCCCAAAAGCCCTTTCCACACACAATATGTGGGCAGGCTCTTGGAAGTCAAGGCAGCTGCACTGTTATACTGAAAAAAAAAAATATACATATATCCATCTGGAGGGGTGGGCAAACAGGTGAAATTATGTAACCCAACAAGCAGGCCTTACAATGCTGAACGATATTGTCAGCTCAAACAAAAAAGTTAGGAGAACGCTAGATTTCTGGCAAATCAAAAAAGCTATGCGCTTCTGTACTTCAGAGATCTACAGAATTGTTTTTTTCCTTTCTATTTTACCCAGACACAATCAGGTCTGTATTGTCTGTACTGCAGTTATGTCAACTTCACAGCACCAGTTGCCACCTGCAAAATGGTACAAAATGATATATTTGAATGCAATGTTTCATAACTGCTTTCTTACAAAGATGAGCAAATCAGGAAAACATACCATATGGGGTTCTAGTCATCATAGCAGTCTCTCTGAGAACAGATCACTTAACACCAACCTACATGGAGGCGTCCTTGTTCCGTAACCTGTTTAAAAACCGAA